CGGGTTAACCTACTTTATGAGGGTTTATGTGACATATATGGAAAGGAATTGACAATTGAAACCCACTGGGTTAACGAAACCCGCTTAAATGTAAACATACTATAAACGAACATACCTTTTCAAAGTTCGAGTTTTTTTAACTTTGCTATCAAAATGTACGGGAACGAAGCTATTATTATTTATCTTTCAAACCACAATAACGTATTTCCGCTAACAGCTATTCTGATCAGATTTGACGATTTATCTTCATTTTGACGGTATTTTGGTCAAAAATTGAAAAATGACGATTTGATTTTTGCCCTAAAAATTAAGATTTTTGGTCATTTTACTAATATGGCAATATTTGGATTCTTTTTATTATGGCAACATCAAAAGTGTAGAAAAGCGAAAGAAAAACTAAAAAGAAGATGAATATTTGGCATATGTGTGTTTGTGTGTGAGGTATACTTTGTATTGTTACAAAGCCAACAACTGTTTACGTTTACCCAGATAGATGAAAAAGCACCGATCAGCTGTGCCGTTGTTGTTGTTGTTTTTTGACACGGGCAAATGAAAAATTGGTAAACGGAAAAGTTGTTATATTAAATTTAAGTTTCAATTTACACAAAGTTATTACAATTTTAAAAAGATTCGATTTTAAAGCATTTTTAAAGTGTTATCTACGATAAGTCCCACGTATATTAGAAATGAAAAGAATAATTAATTTTTCGATATCCTTACGCCATGTTCTGACGGGCATTCGAACAACGTAATTCACTCTCAGAATTACGTACATGAATTAACCCGTTCATACAACACTATTCTTAATTCATGTCATCAGAGTTTTTTTTATTTCAAACTTTTTGTTTCTTGTTTTACACCAAAATTGTAACATATTTGCGTGAATCACATATGGATCTAAATAGAAAAAATGATTCTCTTTCTCCTGACTATAATATCAACCCCTATCTCTTTACTTTTAATTCATGTTTTCCATTTTTTCTGAAAATATTGTTGTTTTCAATACATTTTTATATTTTCTCAACTCAAATGTCACATTTAAAAAATTGGAGAATTTTTGTTTGGGTTTCCCCACTTTTGTTTCTCGTTTTGTACGCTAATTACAACCAAGGGGAAAGAAATGCATATTGCATTATGTAGACGACAAAATTTACATTCCTCTGCATATATAAAAACTAGAATTTTGGTTACTTTTCATTCATCATTTTCAATTTTACTGAAAAAGTTTGAAAAATTTAAAAATTTTTTCATGCTGTCAAAATTAATTTATTTTCGATAGATTCTCTCAATTGTTAGAGATGGGACAAAATTCTTGGTGATTCAGAGAGTGATTCGAATTGAACAACGTACAAAAGTCGGTGTTCGCTCAGACAATTTTGTATGGGGAACTAAGTAATTACTTCATAATTAAGGGTCGAACAACGAATGAGAGAGCGAACAACGCTCGTCTGTACATGGCATTAAAGAACTTCCACATTTTGTGAACGAAGATGAAAAACAAAAATTGGATTCAGAATTTCGCGAACTAAGGTTGTTTGATTTTGATAACATTTGTGAAAATTATGAAACGGGATTTATTTCGTTTTTGGAATCAAAACGATGGTGATGGTTCATATGTTTTTCCTATACAGTCGAAACGGGTAATTTCAGTAATTTTTTTCTCTTATGCAGAATTTTCAATTAGAGGGGACTTCGGGTATGTGAAACTCGTTGCGCTTAAACGAAGTTTTCAATGAATATATATCGTTAGCTAAAATGCAAAAAGGCGTAACTAACAAAAAATTGAAAATTGACTTTTTGAATGTCATGTAGTTTATTGACATTCACAATATTCATTCAAAAAGTCAATTTTAAATTTTTTGTTAGTTACGCCTTTTTGCATTTTAGCTAGCGATATGAAAAAACGTGAAATAAATAAATATTGAAATGAATTGAGTAAGAACAGACATTTTGTTTGTATGGTTGGAAAAATGTGCACATTCATTTTAGAAATTGCACATATAAAAATATAATGAATTTCGTCGCTGTTACAAAAATGCCAATTTTTCTCTTAAGGGGACCCCCCCCCATTCTCGGGGTCAAAAATTTTGTTGATATAATTCGAATCTACACTAATTAAAGAATGTCCCTACAAAATTTCAAATGAAAATCTCAAGAAGTCTTGAAGATATAGCCGATTTATTGTGTCAGCATCAAGTGACGGCTAAAGGCTTTTCAAACTTTAAACGCGTTTTTCTCTAAACATTTTTTTGCGAATGGCGGGCACGATAACTCAAAAACTAATAACCCAATCGACTTCAAATTTTTACACGTTTCTCTGTGAGTGTGTAGCTATCGTATGAACTAGGATAAAGCCAATCGGTGAAGATCTTCCTTATTTTTTGACTTGGGTTTTGGTAAAAAATCGGCGATTTTCCAAAAATATTTTTTAAAGGTCCACCATTTGGTTAATTTTAAAGCGAAGTCAATAATCCTAGTTCACACGAGAGCCAGACATGTACTCTTTCTAACACCGTTGGAATTTTCGGATTCCGATGTTCCAGTGAGGAGTTATCATGCCCGCCATCGAAAATAACGACTTTTCTTTAATTACAAAAAACAATATCAAAATTTTTTTGTAAATTATTTTTCTTCTCTTTTAAATCTTCAAATATATATGAGCAAAGTTACAAACCTTAACAAGCATTGGTATTGATTTACCAGCCCATTGAAAATCTTGAAAAATTAAAATCGGGAATGGGGGGGGGGGGGGGGGTTCCCTTAAACGGTGCTCGTTACATATACATTTGTGTTTTTCCAACAAAAAAGTCTTTTTCCTTTACGGATTTTCAATCATCATCCGCATTTCGCTTGTGGATACCTCCCAATTATTGCTGATGCATACTTTTATTGAATTCATGTTAGTTTTCTCAAATGGTAGTAAAATTATTACTGATAATAGGACAAAAAATTACTGATAATAGGACAAAAAATTATGAGTCGAAAATTTCTGATTTGACCATATTTTACTTCCTGGTCATTTAAGATTGGATGTGTACTTATCATGATACTCAGATACTTACTTTTACATACATACTTTTATGAACATATTATTGAAGATATTCAGATATATGCATAGACAATTAATATTAGTTCAGAGGTATGATTACGGTTGATGCTATAACTCTTCGTCATCGCGGAATTTTGAAAGTTTATTTTGCATATTTTACTTCCATGGGATGGCATTTCTGACTGCGAAAATTTCTACAAAGTCTATTCAGCGATTTTTGTGTCCATGTATAGATATATTAAATTCAATTGTGAGTAAATTCCGTCCATTGTATCGCCCCAATCATATGCATGATGCGTAATTGTAACCAAATTACTCAATCAAATTTTAAAGTGGGAATTTGTAAAGCCCTTTAGGATATAAACATAGAATACCTATGTCATTTCAGATTTGTGATTACTTTTGATGCTATAACTCCGCCTATGATTTGTCTATCAGGTAGCATGAGGTGCTGTAAAATTCGCACTAAAATCTGTTGAGCGGTTGTATGCAAATTATTTAAGTGCAATTAATTGTAGAAAATTGAAATATTTTGAGAATTTTCTATAATTGACAATTACTTAAAGATATACGCTGCCAATTTTCGCCGAAAATATGTCCAAAAAGAACTATGAAGAAATGAAACCATAAGGGTTCGATATAAAATGTGTGGAAATTCTAATATCTTTCAAAATATATTATTCAACATTTTCGCGGATTTTTCTCAAAATCTTCTTTTATTAAAACCTTCCCACTTCAATTACAGACTACTAACAAAAATTGTAAGTCAAATCGGTCCAACCGTTTCTTTAAAATAATTTTTGCAAGATTTCCGCGGATTTTTCTCAAAATTTTCTTTCATAAAAACCTTCCCACTGTAATTACCGACAACTGAAAGAAATTTTGAGTCAAATCGGTCCAGCCGTTCTCAATTGATGCGTTAGTATACATTTTTCTTGCTCCATTTTTATAATAATTTAAATATAAATATATCTAAATGTGCGTATTTAAATTCTTGACGAATTGGTTTGACAATTTTTGATATCGTCATTTTGACGATTTTCAAAAAAAAAATCATTGGCATTAACTTTCTAGAAAAATAAATTTTACTCGGTTGGATATTTTGTATATGTCTTTTGCATAACAAGCCACAGTATGAAAAAAGCCCCAATTTTACTTGCCACAAGTAAAATTGGGGCTATTATATCTATTATATGTAAATCATTCAGAATATATACAAATCATCGTTTTTATAACAGCGTAAATTAAAATTAAAAAGGTGCACGAACCTGATTATTGCAACTAATTTAATTTAATATTTTAATTTTAATATATTAAAAATATCAATATGTGTGATTTTATGTAATTATGTTCCCCTACTAAACAAGTGGCACAATTTTCAAAATTTTCCAATTTCACACTAAGTTTATTACTTATTATAATATTTAATTAAATCATTTTAGTTAAATCCTTGCTTTCATCTCAGGTTTACAGGGTTGTAATTAGCAAACTCTGAATGTGAGCTGCCCTTGCTACTCTCATCCTTTCCTTAAACCTCATTCGTAAATAATCCAACTCCTTTTTAGTCTCCATCCCACCTCATTCGTAACTTTCCGTCTTCTTTTTTGACTTCTTCTTTACCGAGCATTTTGTCTTATCCCATCCCATTCGTAAAGGTGGAACGTTTTTCATTATTTCTTTTCTGCAGAGTACCCTTACTAACGCGAGGCGAGACAACGCGAGAAAGAAGAATTAATTAATTTTTTACTACAAAAACAAGACAACTAGAAGATTACATATCTTTATTTACTGAACACACAGACAGAGTGACTCTTCTGGAAGTACTGAAGGCCCAAAAAGACAGTTTGTCAGTTTGCTGAAAATCGATCCAAGGCCCAAAGTAATATCGAAAAAGTCGAAAAAGAACCACAAATCATATCTAAATTAATAATTAACAATTTTAAAAACAAAAATGGCAAGCACAGATAATCCCTTCGCTGCCTTGCTGAGTGAATCCAAATCGGGAATAGATAAACAATTAATCGAAGACATATTTTTATTCACATTGAAGAGGGAGCAATCGTCTCCAAATTCATCAAAATCTAGGAAGGCTCTTTTATGTTTAGCTGATGTTATTGTGTGCGATAGTGGCGAAGATGGCGTAATGGGCGAAGAGTTGCTGTCCCATGCTATATTCGAACGATTAATGTTAATTGACACCAAGGAATATTTGGTACATGGAGAGGGCGAAGATGATGCTTTGCAAGTTGACCCGATGATCTATTTACATCGGGCTTTTTTGTCTTGTGAAAGGCTTAAATCAACCCAACCCAATGGAGCAACAGACTATGAAAAGATACGTTCGCTAATTATTACGAATGGCAGCACTTGTATGCGTCAACCCGATTTATTTCCTGGCCAACCAATCTGGAAGCAATGGAAAAAAATAATGTTGACGTCTGTGGACACAAATACGTCGGAAACTATGGATTTCATAGTTGAATGCATCCAAAAAATATACGCCGAAGATGAACCTCTGGAGGCATTGGGAGCGTTGAAGTCTAACTTTTATCCATTGCTTAGTAAAATCGAAACAATCATCAGTCAATCCAATATACTTACCATTAAAAGTGATATCTTCTGGCTTTTGAGCTTTTTCGTACGCGATAAACGTATACCACAAATGGGCGAAGTACTGATCGACTTTACAATTCCAAATCCTAACACTACAGGCAAGTCTACAAAATCTTTATACAATTCAGATCTTTATGTGTTCAATTTTCATATTTTAGGAGGTGCGTACATGGATACCTTATTCGGTAGTTTGTTTTCGCTATCAATATTACCTAAAAATACGAACGGGCCGTATGAGTTTTTCAATGATATAAGTTTAGAGTCAAAAGGTTCAGATCCGGCGCTTTGGCAAATTATGTCCAGATATCAAAATGATGTATTCTGTCTTATAAAACAACTACTGGTTCAAAGTCCAACAACAAAGCAAAAGATGTTACAATGGGTCGCCAAGTGCCTTTCTGCCAATGTATCCCGTGGCCATTTGTGGAATAATCTCAATGCTGGCATTGAAAATGTTGTTCATCAGAACGCAAGTGATGCATTTATGCTTGGTCTAACGTCTGTGTTATTAAGACTGTGTGCTCCTTTATGTGAACCGACAATGAAGGTAAGGGATTGACGAAATACAATATTTCATATGTTTATATAGTGCACAATACAATATTGTTGTATTGAGTTCAGGGTCTCAGCTCCGACTTTTTAGAAATGTTTGCCCTACCGACTAATATGAAAACGTTTACATCAATGGAAACCTCTCTGCACGAGGTGGTACACCACTTTGAAAGCACCTTCCAGAAGAAAATGTTTACTTTAGCTGTATGCATTGATATTGGGGGAACTTTTAATAGTGTAGGCACTGAAACACTTATCAAATCCTTAAATACCTTTAAAGTTGACCAGACAATCATAGCCTGCATCAGTCACATGCTAACACATAATTAATAACAGGGACAAAAGACTCCGCCGGGAAGGATTTTAAATATTTGATATTTGATTGGTGTGACCTACCCATTTTGGGCTTACCTACTACCCATTTTCGTATATCGATTAGGATGCATGAAAGAGATTTGCATATATTATCTTTTGTTTGTATTTCATTCTCAAAAGTTAAATTATCTTCTATCTATTTTTTGGGACATTTACTTATTCAATGGAAATTTTATATGAAAATGTCAGGCCTTGTGTTTCCATGGTATTGACATATAATACTATACATATATTAGTTAAGGATCTAAGATTTTCCTATAAAAATTATTCAATATCTTCGGCTAAAATTGAAGATTTTAGTAAGAACATTTTCCAATGTGAATTTGTAAAGACTCACTAAAATATCTGGCAAAAATGTTAGGTGTGCTGTACAAATTGTTTCCAAGTTAGATGAATTTCACAATTTTTTTTTCTGATTTTTTATTTGTAAAGTTTTTTATTTTACTAAATCGAAGTTGTTTTTTAAATATTTGTAAATAAGCAGCAGTAATGTAAAAAATCGCACGATGTTTCAATTACGAGTCCACTTCAAACTTTATGTTTTTTCACAAAAAGACATGCCATCTTCCAACTAAATCTCTTTGAAATACAAATTTTTTAAATTTTAAATTTAAATTTTTTTTTTGCAAGTTCGAATAAAACCATTTTTTTGTTTCAATAAATTAATATGTATTTGCAAAAATACTTAGACCCCTCTGTCATGTCTACGTGATTATGAAATTTCTTATTTAGAACATCACCACTCGGCCACGTATTCTTCTACGCTGTCTATTTACATCGGTCTATTGTATCTTTTTTTTGTACATAATTAAACTATATTTTAAGGTGCTGTTAGTAGATCCGACATATTGCGGTGTACCAGACGATGAAAGGGAAGAAAAAGGTGTCAATATGTTAAAAGCCTTCGAGGAGACTGCTTTACTGCCAACAGAAGAAAATACCAAACGAACAACAGCCGCCAAATTCAATTTCATTACGGAACTGTTCTTTCTGACACACAAAGCCTACGAACTAAGCTACAGGGCTTGTATTGAACGATTTGCTAAAATGTCTCGAGAACTGCAGAATTTACAGTCATCTTATCAAGATGTTGCAAGCGCAGATCCCAATAATGAAATGGCCAAAAACTTGATGCGTATGCTCAAACAGCACTTGCAAAAGTATTTGTGCCTGAGGAACTGTCTAATGGAGCCGGAAAACGATACGGCGTTAATAAAGTTCTTCGAAGCGTCTGCAATTTGGCTTGTGGAGGTAGCACTTATTTCGCCCGAAGAACTGGAAAGTATGCATGAGTTTGCCCCACTTAAGAGGCGGAATAAAAAATTGCCACAGAAAATCGAATTTACACCACATACGCTGCGATGCATTCCAGAAAATATTGTCGACAACATCATATCGTATCTCAACTTCAATCGTCATTTTGCCCCAGGACATTTTATTGAATTCTACCCATCGTCTCACGATGCTTTCTTTAAAATGATAGTACTGTTCATGGGCGCACCAGAGTTTATAAAAAATCCACATTTACGTGCGAAATTGGCGGAAGCATTAGAGCTGTTCCTTAAAAAACAATCGGCCGTTGGTACCACATTCCTTGCACATGTCTTCGATAATCACCCCGATCGCTCTAAGGTAGTAGCCAGTCTGCTAAATGTTTTTGTTTCCATTGAAATGACTGGGCAGTCTGTGCAATTCGAACAAAAATTTAACTATAGACGGCCTATGTACGCCATAATTGAATACTTATGGACCAAAGAGGAATATGTGCAAAACTTTCGCGACTTAGCAGCTGAAGCCGAGGGTAACATGGAGGCAATTGAACCTCCACTTTTCCTACGTTTTATAAATTTGTTAATTAATGATGCTATATTTCTATTGGGTAAGTAACTCATGACACGGCATTTCTATGTATAGTGACACATTTGTGTAATTTTTTTTTTGATCTTGTTATTATTTATAGATGAATCACTTAATAACCTACAACAAATACGACAACTACAAGAGGCGCAGGCCAGTGGAGAGTGGAATAATTTGCCACAAAATGAACGCCAACAAAACCTATCCAATCTTCATCACTTGGGCATGTTGGCCCGTTTCGATAACATTCTGGGACGTGACACCATTAATATTCTTAAACTAATCACAACGGAAATCAAGAGCATTTTCTGTCATAATAGCATGGTGGATCGCATAACATCGATGCTGAATTATTTCCTGTTGAACTTGGTCGGACCCCAAAAGGAAAAGTTCAAAGTGAAGGATAAGAAAGAATTCGAATTTGATCCGGCGAAAACAGTAATAGAAATTTGTCATATATATGTCAATTTGAGCTGCAGCGATAGCTTTTGCTTGGCAGTATCCCAGGATGGACGTTCTTATAGTTCGCAGTTGTTTTCATATGCGGAAAATATTCTTATACGCATAGGAGGAGGGCAGTTAATTGGCGAAATGGCGGAGTTTTCAGAAAAAGTACAGAGATTAGAAAAACAATATAAACAAGAACTGGAATATATGGCCGATGCCCCTGACGAATATTTAGACCCAATAATGTCAACTTTGATGACAGATCCGGTTATATTGCCAAGTTCAAAAGTCACAGTAGATAGGTCAACAATAGCACGTCACTTACTTAGTGATCAAACAGATCCATTTAATAGAGCACCGCTAACAATGGACAAAGTAACACCAAATGTGGAACTAAAGCAGGAAATTGAAAAATGGTTAGCAGATAAACGTAAATCTGGACCGAACGTCAATAATGATCAATAATAAACTAGCTAATATACATGTATCGTAAATTTTCCGTAGTTTAGTGAATGTTGGTTTTGCGAAATCCTGGGGTATTGCAATAAGTTGTTGTTTTTTATATTATGTAATATGTTATTATATGTTTATGTATATGTATAGGTAAACAAATATGGTACATATATTTTAGTATGTAAATACAATCATATGGTAAAAATGTAAATATAAACGTAAATACAGACTTTGGCAAATTTTCTAGAAATGCTCTTCCACTCGAGAAGAGTTTTCTTATCCCTTTGAAATACAAATTATAAAAAAAAGTGGTATTTGTTACAGAAAAGCACTTAACACAAACTACACTAGCTAATAATTAAGTCATAAAAATAGGATGGAAACAAATTTTAAGTAAAGGTTATACGTACACTATTCCGAAAACTCAAAATTTACCATTGGAAGACATGAAACCTTTTTTCATTAGATTGTCACGAAGGCGATTCTTTACAGAGTTAACCAGTGCGTGGTTCATTTCATCATTTGATATCAAGGTTTCTTCATAAGGTTAACCGGCAAGGCCAGCTGAAGTTTTCATTGACTGTCAAAATGTACTGATCGAAGCTTATTCATAAGATTAACCTCGTTATCGTAGTAAAAAGTAGTAGATTCTTGCAATACGGGAACAAACCAATACATATGTACACATTACTATTTTTGAAAGATATTTTGAGTTTTTATACTGTGCTGGTTGACATTTCCCGATTAAAATGTTGACAGCAAGAGAAGTCTAAGACTTGACCTTATTTAATAGGCCATGAATTGAAGAATAAATAAACTAAAAATATTATTATTCGAACCAGAACGGCATCACTCACACCAACCTGAAAATAAATGTACAGCCTTATTCTACATGTCAATTCCACTTGAATTTACTCGCTCTTCCCTTTCGACTTAGGAGTAGGAGAATGAGATGAAATTTTATGCGAAAATTTTTGCTAATAAATTCAAAGGGAACTGACTACAAAAACATAAGTTATAAATATTTTTATGAAAAATATTTATACAATACTTATTCTATGACGATTTAGAATATTATAAATTATAGTAAGCTAATTTTTAATTGGAAAACAACAAATACAATGCCATTGGAAATCCTATGCACGCTGAACCAAATATTGCCAAGGAATGTAGAGTAACTTCGGGTAATGTGGACCAACATTTTCTTTTTTTGATATTGTGGGCGTAACAACGGTAAAAAAAATAAAAACAAATTGTTTTCACAACATAGTAGATCTGTTGGCTAAATATATTCCAGGTCGAATATTATTTATTTTTGTCTATAAAAATGTTATTGCATTATATTTCAAAAAACTCTAAACTGCGAATAAAAATAACTTGGCGGGTAATGCGGACCAGTATGTGTGGGTAATGAGGATCAGTAAGTTAAAGGTAGGTTGTGGATTGGTTGTGATAAATTTCCATTTGTTACACTCTTGGATAAAAATGAATGCAAAAATATATGGGTTAATGTTTTGGAATAGCCCGCATTTAAGGGTACCGCCCCTTGCTTCATTATCCAACCGAGGCACCTGTAATTTAGCATATCGAGTTTTCAGAGGATAGAATACCCCCTTGCATATTAAATGCGCCCATGTTTCGAACTCGTCCTCATGAAAAGGCCCACTTTTTTATAGTGATCCACATTACCCTTGCATATTAAACGCGCCCATGTTTCGAACTCGTCCTCATGAAAAGGCCCACTTTTTTATAGTGGTCGACATTACCCGACATTGAATATTTTTATTCAAAAATAATTATCGGCTTCAAAAATGAATAAAAATTAAAAGTCACCGATTATAATTATTTTTGTTAAAGAAAACCAGAAAACCACATAACTTCTTTATATTCGAGAAAAACCAAGTGTTCGACTATTTTGGAAAAACGTTCGACTATTGTGCTAAAAAGTTTTATAATCAGAGCTACATTTTCTACTACTAAATTTTCAACATTGCAATTATTTATTAAAAACCAAGTTTGATGATTGTTTTCATTACTTAGGAAAACATTAATCAAGGCGGCATTGACATATTTCAAACATTTTCTTAGATATAGGGGGTGGTCCACATTAGACGCCTGGTCCACATTACCCGAAATTACTCTATAAAGGTAATAAGGAATATTTAAGTCGAGTTTGATGCATTTTGGAGGCGAAATACAGACATTTTGGGTGAGAATTTGTCTCTCAAGAAAAAAATTTTTAAAAATTATGGAAAAACCAAATTTGCCTAATGAGCCGCTTAACAGGGAAAAACTATTATGAAAGAACAAAATAAAGTTACAAAAAATATTTTTTTTTTTTTCAAAATTATCGTGTGCATGATTTGAAGGAAGAAATATAGGAGTATGAGCAAATAATAACTGGCCACTTTAAGAATTTGGTGAGATAAAATATCGAAATTAAATAAAAACACACTGTTAAGTCCGCACTATAGGGACTTGGGTAGTTGGCAGGTACAGTGCAATTGTGGTTCTCCCAATAGAGTCCGTACGCCCAATGCGTACTCGTGAGCAATAGTTTTATTAAAAGGTTTGTCGACCAATGCCGATATTTATTGATTGGTAACGATATTACTTGTAATGTACAACAATATGTACGATGGCTTACAATTTAAGCGCTGGTGATCGATCACAACAATATGTGTGGCCAGTTGAAAGGTTACAACGAGAGTTAACCAAGTAATAATAATAACAATGTTGTTGACACAAAGATGCCTAAAGGTGGCGCAAACTCAAAATGTTAACAAAAGTCCGTTGAAATCTGTCAGCCTCATACTATTACAAGGGTGTAATAAAAGGGAGTAGACAGATTTCAACGGCTACGGCCTTTTAAATTAAAGGCTAACTATTTAACTATTTTAAACAGCGATTCTTGCTTAAACATTTGCCGCCTCCCTTGAAACATCCATATGTTTTAACAAATACAATAAATTATAAATAACGGCATAGTGCATGGTAAGCAAAACCTTTTACATTTTTTCAATATATTTTTTCATCATTCTTTTTTTTACTTTTTTCAAATAACAATCTTACTTGCTAACGAAAGGGCCATTAGGGACCCCGCGATTACATAGATCATGAAGGATCTATTGTACGAAAGGGCCATTAGGGACCCCGCGGTTGTGTGAGGCCAGAAAGGACCTGTGGTACGAAAGGGCCATTAGGGACCCCGCGAAACGATAGAGCCATGAAGGACCCCGCGAAACGAAAGAGTCATTAGGGACCCCGCGAAACGAAAGGGCCATTAGGGACCCCGAGATATGTGAGCCAAATTGTGTTATGTTTGTTGAGGGCCGCCTTACAACGATTTCGTAAGATTTACGAAAACAATTTATGTTAGAGGACCAGTAATTATCCAGCCAAATTTAGTATTTTGAGCGAGCAGCGATGCAGACGAAAGTCGAAAACAATGATTTTTTACGATTTGTGGATATAAGTCTGCTCCTATCAAAATATCTACTGGACGAGATTCAAGGAAATCGGGATCTGCCAAAACTATATTTGACAAATCAGATTTAAGATCCGAAGTAATCGAAATGGATGGAAGATTTCCCGATATGGAATCTACTACCAATGCTGACGTTTCCAAACTGTGAGACCTATTACGACAACTACCCAGTTTAAATGAACATATTTTTCGACAAGTTGTGGCAACAGTACTATTTACTCCACGAATTGTCGAAATTGTGGGTTTAACCGGCAATTTCAATTTCTTCTGAAGCCGTTCAGAAATGAAAGACGACTCAGAAGCCCGATCTATTAACGCCCGAGCAGGAAAACAAGCACCATGGTGAACAATATTGACCATGGCTGTTCCCAATAGAACTGTTTTGTTCTGCGTGGCGTGAAAGGTCTGTCGAATAGCAGTGACCGCCGATGCGGGTGGACCGATCACAGTGGAAGAGGACGAATGACTACCATTAACATTTAAATTGCGTGGTCGAAAAGCTGGTGCCGAAGACGATAAATTAGAATTTACAGGAGTCACCATCTGACTCGGAGAGCTCACAATAGAGCTATATCTGTGCAATAGAGTGTGATGTCTCTGATTGCACTTTCGACAACAACGACTATTACAATTTTTGACTTCGTGTCCCCTACGAAGACAATAACCACACAGTCGATGCTTTTTGACCAATTTAAATCAATAATGTATTGTATGTTGCTCTGCACAAAGAACGCAACATGAATCAGGCGACGAACGAGGATTGGAAGCTATACATTTACGAGATACGGAACTCTTTCTATTATTTGAGTTTGACACAGTATTACCATTTCTCATCTCATGCAAACACAGAAGAGTACGAATTCTCTCTGTCAAGAATGCATCTAACTCTTTCCAAGATGAAAGAGACGATTTGGATTTAACACTTTGCTCCCATAAAGCGTGTGTCAATTTGGGCAATTTTTGTAAACAAATGAATACCACGATCGGATCCCAATTATCCGTTGGTATGTTATAGATTGCCATTGCGGAAAGACAACTATTAATTCCGCGTTGAATAGATTTTAGTCCCGAACTACTTTCCTGATCCAGCACAGGAAGGCCAAACAACATTTTCAAATGTCTATGGACAATAAGACGTGGATTATTATAAGTGGAATTCAAGGCATTCCACGCAGGTTCAAAACTCCGATGAGTTAGAGGAAATTTCGAGACGATCTCTCGAGCCTCACCACTAGTTTTACTCACCAGATGACATAAACGCTCAATGTCTGTCAATCTGGAGTTCTTAATATAAACCGCACTAAACAAATCTTTGAATGTGGGCCAAGATAGAACATCTCCACTGAAAATATCGATATTGCATGGAGGAATCGCAAGGTTATGAAAGTTATCGACATTAGAAGAATCAACAATAAAGTTGTGATCTATTCTAGAATTCCCAATATTCAATATTGTGGAGCTAGATGTCTGCATTCCCCCATCACAAGAAGTGCGGGACGATGAGCTCAAATTATTAACGGAGGCA